GTGATTCGAATTTCGAACCAAACCCTTTATTTCGTCCACAAGGGTAGATTGCTCTAGCTCCACGTTTCATGCCTCTAGATGAGGATAACAGACTGAATAATGTAAATAATGCAAGTAATCATAATACCTCATCTCAGAGATATAGACAGATATATAGAGAGATATTGATATAAAGGCCGGAGCGTACAACGGTCGAAATGTTGTGAATATGGCAATGAAGATGAGGATAACAGTCCGAATAATGTAAATACTGCAAGTAATCATAATACCTCATGTCAGAGATATAGACAGATATTGTACAGTTATGTTACGTTGTGAATATGGCAATGAAGATGAGGATAACAGTCCGAATAATGTAAATAATGCAAGTAATCATAATATCTCATCTCAGAGATATAGACAGATATTGTACAGTTATGTTACGTTGTGAATATGGCAATGAAGATGAGGATAACAGTCTGATGAGGAATAATGTAAATAATGAAAGTAATCATAATACCTCATCTCAGAGATCCTTGTTTATTTTATTATTTTTCTTTCTTTCTTTCTTTCTTTCTTTCTTTCTTTCTTTCTTTCTTTCTTTCTTTCGCCCGCTCTTTCTTTCTTTCTTTCTTTCTTTCTTTCTTTCGCCCGCTCTTTCTTTCTTTCGCCCGCTCTTTCTTTCTTTCTTTCTTTGTTTCCTTCTTTCTTTCTTTCATTCTTTCGCCCGCTCTTTCTTTCTTTTTTTCTTTCTTTCTTTCTTTCTTTCTTTCTTTGTTTCCTTTTTCTTTCTTCTTTCTTTCTTTCTTTCTTTCTTTCTTTCTTTCTTTCTTTCTTTCGCCCGCTCTTTCTTTTCGCCCGCTCTTTCTTTCTTTCGCCCACTTTCTTTCTTTCGCCCTTTTCTTACTTTCTTTTGTTCGCCCGCTCTTTCTTTCGCCCGCTCTTTCTTTCGCCCGCTCTTTCTTTCAACATTCCTATTTCTTTTTTTATATCATACATTTTTCACCTTCATATTTTGCTCATAATTCTAATTAATTAATAGAATTAAAAAAAATAATTTTTATAATTTATACATGAATTTTATTTTAAAGTTTATAATACCGAATTTTTTATTTCAATTTTTTATGATTGATACCGGATTTTATGCTCATTTTTAATAATTAATACCACATTTTGATTTTTAATTGTTATAATATATACCGAATTTAATTTTAAATTGTATAATTATTACCAGATTTTTATTTTGATTTTCATAATTATGTAAATTATAACGTATTTTATTTTTAAAATTAATACCGGAATTTTATCTCAGTTTTTCAATACCGGAGTTTTATTCTAATTTTTATAAGTTGTACCGATTTTCTATTCCAATTTTCTAATTAATACTTGATTTTTATTTTATAATTAATAACAATTTTTCATTTTTTATACTAGATTTTCATTACAATTTTATAATTAATAACGGATTTTTTTCAATTTTTATAATTAGTACCGGATTTTTATTTAAATTTATGGAAAATTATGTAACGCTAGTCTTCCTTTAAATTCGTCTTAACAAGCTTAAATCTTAAGAAACGGAGGCCCGGGCTTTACCTAATTTCATCCTCTAACAAATATCGCAGGAGGGGAGACACAACTTTCTTCACCAGTATGCAAAAAACAAGCGAAAAACAAGCCAAAAGCAAGCAAAAAACAAGGCAAAAAACAACTGAAAACAAGCAAAAAAAAAACAAGCAGAAAACAAGCAAAAACAAAGCAAAAAACATGCAAAAATCAAGTAAAAAGAAGAAAAAACAAGCAAAAAGAAGAAAAAACAAGCAAAAAAGAAGAAAAAACAAGCAAAAAAGATGAAAAACTAGCAAAAAGAAGAAAAAAACAAGCAGAAAACAAGCAAAAGACAAGACAAAAAAAGCAAAAAAAAGCAAAAAACAAGCCAAAAGCAAAAAAAAGAACTAAAAAACAAGCCAAAACAAGCAAAAAACAATCAAAAAAAGCAAAAAACATGCAAAAATCAAGCAAAAAGAAAAAAAAAGCAGAAAACAAGCAAAAACAAGAAAAAAAGCAAAAACAAACAAAAAACCAAGCAAAAAACATGCAAAAAATCAAGTAAAAAAGAAGAAAAAACAAGCAAAAAAGAAAAAAAAAAGCAAAAAAAGAAGAAAAAACAAGCAAAAAGATGAAAAAACTAGCAAAAAAGAAAAAACAAGCAGAAAACAAGCAAAAGACAAGACAAAAAAGCAAAAAACAAGCAAAAACAAGCCAAAAGCAAGCAAAAAAGAACTAAAAACAAGCCAAAAACAAGCAAAAAACAATCAAAAACCAAGCAAAAAACATGCAAAAATCAAGCAAAAAAGAAGAAAAAACAAGCAGAAAACAAGCAAAAACAAGAAAAAAAAGCAAAAAACAAACAAAAACCAAGCAAAAAACATGCAAAAATCAAGTAAAAAGAAGAAAAAACAAGCAAAAAGAAGAAAAAAACAAGCAAAAAAGAAGAAAAAACAAGCAAAAAGATGAAAAAACTAGCAAAAAGAAGAAAAAACAAGCAGAAAACAAGCAAAAGACAAGACAAAAAAGCAAAAAACAAGCAAAAACAAGCCAAAAGCAAGCAAAAAAGAACTAAAAACAAGCCAAAAACAAGCAAAAAACAATCAAAAACCAAGCAAAAAACATGCAAAAATCAAGCAAAATAGAAGAAAAAATCAAAGAAAAAAGAAACAAGCAAAAAGTAAAAAAACAAGCAGAAAACAAGCAAAAGACAAGCAAAAACAAGAAAAAAAAGCAAAAAACAAACAAAAACCAAGCAAAAAACATGCAAAAATCAAGCAAAATAGAAGAAAAAACAAGCGAAAAGAAGAAAGAAACAAGCAAAAAGTAGAAAAAACAAGCAGAAAACAAGCAAAAGACAAGCAAAAAAACAAGCAAAATCCAGCAGAAAACAAGCAAAAAACAAGAAAAACAACCAGAAAACAAGCAAAATGCAAGCAGAAAAGAAGCAAAATCCAAGCAGAAAACAACCAAAACAAGCAAAAAAAAAAAAAAAAAAGACAAGAAAAAACAAGCAAAAAGAAGCAAAAAAGCAAAAAATGATTATACTTTAGTCTGGTTAGTGTGGATCTTTAAGGCTGAAATGTCTTCCTTTCAGTGGCTGGTTTTATTTCCATTTTCTTGTTTTTCTTTTGTTAAAAGCTTTGGTGTTTCTCTTCAGATAGGCGTTTTACTGGCGAAAGGTACATCAACGGCAGGGAATTTGCGTTAGTATTGTGGGTGGTCCATGTTTGAAAGAAGGGAAGAAAGGCAACAATACATATTAGGACAATACTCGGAAGGATGAGAGGAAAAGAAAGTGAGAAAGAAAAAAGTAAAAAAAAGGTAAAAGAAAAACAAAGAGGGGAGAGGAAGTGAGATGAAGAAGAGAGAGAGAAACAAGATGATGGAGTTGGGGAGAATAATAGAAAGAAAATCAGAAGGCTGGATGAAAAAAGAAGGATATATATATATATATATATATTTTTAGACAAGTTTTGACTGCTTACATTCAATTGGATCCTTTCATATTCACGAATAAGCTTCCTGGTATCGTTATTGAAGGACGAGAGAAAACGGAAACATCTCTCTCTCTCTCTCTCTCTCTCTATATATATATATATATATATATATATATATATGTGTGTGTGAAGAAATAGTTTTAAGGCGTGCTATATTTATGGGATAATCAGAGATACTTAAACAGCCTGTCGCTTCTAAGTGTTGACTTCGATGTTCACTTTTATATTTATATTTACATACGCGCTATCTCTGATATTGAGCACTTTATCCCACAAATATAGCACACCTTAAAACTATATATATATATTTTTATTTTAACTGTCCCTCGCTAATTTATTTACACGATTCTTTTCCTTCCCCTCGTTACAAGTATATATACTTGTTTGTTATTTTAGTGTGTTTCCCCCTTTTTTTAAGCTCTTCAATATCGTTTATATTCTTTTTGGCTAATCCAACGATTGTCTCCTGATGAGATGTTGGCTGAAAGGGCCCTAGAGACTTTTAAAATTAAAATCAATGCATTCCTTGTTTTTGAAACTATTTATAAATTTTGTACCTCCAAACATTTGTTTATATATATATATATATATATATATATATATATATATATATATATATATATATATATATATATATAATGCTTTTGCCCTAACTGTCAAAAAAGGAACTCATATTTTTAAATTACTTACTAAAATAATTTTTTCGAACGTAAGTTTAAATATAATTCTTCAAATTATATTGGCATATTGCAATTTTAGGAGGAAATGTGTATTCAGTTAGGCAGTTGTGTTCCATGCGTGATACACGCTTAGGCGATTAAGTATCTTTCGATACATGACTGTCGAGGCAGATTTTTTTTCCTGCAGTAGGTTGTCATTTCTTTCTGCGGTAGACCAGTTGTCATCCAAGGCAATAGAACCAGGTCTGTCCTGCTAATTACCCATAGCTGGAAGGAGAAGAAGAGGATTCATACCTTTCCCAAGGATACTAACACGTACGTGAATGTAATGAATTCGATCTCGCCTCTCCGATTTTTCAATCCTCATTACTCCACTGTGCCTTCTCATATTATTGTTTATTACTTAATCATAATAAAAAACAGTCCCTCAGTTAATGTTCACTAGAATCTTATATCAATTCTATTTTCGTCATACTGTCAAAAATGACAACGTATTTTGTCAACTCCTAATAATTATAAAAAACGTTATTTTAGTGTTTCCATATATTTTCAAAAGAGAGGTGAATTCATATCTTTCCCAAGGGTAAGTGAATAGAATGAAGCCGGCTGGAATTCGAACTCGGCTATACGATTTCCAAATCGAAACTGTGTCCTCTACACCAGCCGCACGCCCAATTTTACCGCACCTGGCATTTCTAAACGGTCACCCATCTAAGTAACTACTAGGCTCGACGTTGCTTAACATCCGTGTTTAAACGTGATGTGACCGTAAGCCGTTTCTACACGCACACCCAAGCTTACGGCACCTGGGATTCACACGCGATCACCCATCTAGTTACTGACCAGGCTCGACTTTGCTTAACTTCGGTGATTCCAGGAGAACCGGTGATTCAACGTGATGTGACCGTAAGCTGTTTCTACACGCACACCCAAGCTTACAGCACCTCTGATCTGTTTTTCTTCATTTACTATCGCTAACGCCCCCACTTATTCCGCCACCCATTCAAACAATTCCTCAGGTAAGTAATTCGCAGCTCTGCCCTAACTCTCTTGCCCTCAGTATAGCAACTTACTAAGCGAACCTTAGATGTGTCACAGGACTGAAAATATGGAGTAACTAGTGAGTATCGAACTCACTACTCAGTAGTCACTGATTTGGCGAGACAAGCTTGTTAACCATTGCACCTCACCAAAATGCTCTTCTTGTCATCAATATACCCTATGACTGTTAAGTTTTCCGATTCCTTCTTTTATCGTTGTGTATCCAAGAAAGTTCCGGTGACTCTTCCTGATTCTGAGTAGAATTGTTCTTTCCGCTTCCCTTTTCTTTAGGATTTACTTGTTGATTACTCGCTACGTCCATAGAATTCTCAGTATCTTTCTGTAGAACCATATTTCTAAGAAAAAATGTTTTTTACTAGCTTTAAAAATCAAAGATATGGGAACGCATACAATCCTTACTCTCCCTTGAGCAATAAGAATGTATAATTACTCTCCAGGCTCAATCGAAGAATCGTGAATAAATCAATCATAAGCGAAATGACATTTTATCATTAATTAAACGCAGCTAAGTATCGGAAGCTCATGAAGGATTAATATATATATATATATATATATATATATATATATATATATATATATATATATATTATTCCAAAATCATTTTCCAAATTATTCAAGATGATCTTCTCCCTCTCTCACCTTCTAACATTCTGTCCTGGAATAACAAGGTGCCTCACAGGTTTCACGTACGATTTTATTTTCAAGTCTTTTTTCACTGCTGTTTAGACTGTCATAGATGAAACTCCTTTCTCCCGTGTCAAACGTCTTATGGATTGAGTTGGATCTTTTCTAATTGATCTCTTTAGGTCTAAGTTGAAATGATGATCCCTCATCCTGATCCAGTTTTCCTCTCCACTGTTTCCTCTTTTTCTAAACTTATTCATCATTCTCTTGATGGTTCTTGAATAGACTTTTAAAGATGGAAGCCAGAGTATGAATGTTGGTACTATTATTGAATGTCTGAATGATCTTTTTCCTCTCACCATTGCTCAGTTGGGAAGACAGTGCGTCTGACACAAAACGATTTTAACCTGTTCTCTTTCTAGCTGAATAACTCAAAGGTTTTTTCAGTGATTCTTACGACAAATGGGGTCAACATGGCTACACCTGGAAAAATAAAAAAAATTGGTTTAGTGTTTTTTTAAATATTAAACATTTTGTGGGATGGGCAATTATGCCGTTACACCATTTGGACACATTTGCTGTTACACACACACACAGTCACTCACACACACACACGCACATACACACACACATGGTAAAAAATGGTTGCTGAAGACATTAGGTTTATAATACCCAGAAATTCATACAGCGATGTCCTCAAGGACACATGGCGAAGTAGATAAAGGCGTTAGCTAGATCCAGTAACAACACCAAAAGAGTGTGAGTTCAATACCCGCTTAAGGCAGTGGAGAACTTGGAGAGGGGAATTAAAAGGAGATAACAGAAATCCACAAAAGCGAAATAAGGGGTTTAGTTCGACATTACAACCGCTAGAAGAAGGCCGGGACGTCGTAATAAATATGGCAACAAAGATGAGGACAATAGTCCAAATGACGTAAATAGTGTATGTATGTTGCTCATACGTTTTTTTTTTAAATACATACAAATATTTAAGTAAATAATATCGGATATTATTTTCGTAACATTCATGAACGTTTTTCCAAATGTCAATAACTTATAACTCAGTCGGGATTGCAGACACAAATTTATGACAAAATCTTGATATTGAGAAAGGTGTAGATAAAAACAATTTCTTTCATTTATCGTCTAACGATTTTCAAAACTGGGACACTGAACGAGGAGAATAGAAAATGCAAAACGATTTTTTTAAAAGTCACTCATTTTCTTTCTCTTTTTTTATTCGCGTGCAAAGTCAGCTTGGGAAAAATAATATAAGATTTAATTATTTTAAACGCGAACAAATGCATACAAACACAACATATTTTTTATCCATCTCAAGAAACCATTTTGAAGTAATGCATTATTGGATAGTATTTACGAAACATACCTTCATGAACGTTTTTCCAATCCAAATGTCATTGATATTACATACCAAAATTTATTATATATATATATATATATATATATATATATATATATATATATATATATATATATATATATGAAAGAAATATAAAAAATGAATCGACAAACTTCGACAATTGTTTTTTAAGACATTTTTATGTTTATACGTTCTTTTTTATCTGCATATAACTGTTAGACTTTGTCCATTTCATCTAAGAAATTCAGACAACTTAAGACTATTTACTTTTTAGAGAAACTAAGATGAAAGGAATACTAATCAAAAATGAATAATAATTGACAAGGCTTCATCTAAGAAATTCAGACAACTTAAGACTATTACTACTTGGTGGAAAAGCAAGAGAAATAAGATGAAAGGAATACTAATCAAAAATGAATAATAATTGACAAGGCTTCATCTAAGAAATTCAGACAACTTAAGACTATTACTACTTGGTGGAAAAGCAAGAGAAATAAGATGAAAGAAATACTAATCAAAAATGAATAATAATTGACAAGGCTTCATCTAAGAAATTCAGACAACTTAAGACTATTACTACTTGGTTGAAAAGCAAGAGAAATAAGATGAAAGAAATACTAATCAAAAATGAATAATAATTGTCAAGGCTTCATCTAAGAAATTCAGACAACTTAAGACTATTACTACTTGGTGGAAAAGCAAGAGAAATAAGATGAAAGAAATACTAATCAAAAATGAATAATAATTGCCAAGGCTTCATCTAAGAAATTCAGACAACTTAAGACTATTACTACTTGGTGGAAAAGCAAGAGAAATAAGATGAAAGTAATACTAATCAAAAATGAATAATAATTGCCAAGGCTTCATCTAAGAAATTCAGACAACTTAAGACTATTACTACTTGGTGGAAAAGCAAGAGAAATAAGATGAAAGGAATACTAATCAAAATGAATAATAATTGACAAGGCTTCATCTAAGAAATTCAGACAACTTAAGACTATTACTACTTGGTGGAAAAGCAAGAGAAATAAGATGAAAGGAATACTAATCAAAAATGAATAATAATTGACAAGGCTTCATCTAAGAAATTCAGACAACTTAAGACTATTACTACTTGGTGGAAAAGCAAGAGAAATAAGATGAAAGAAATACTAATCAAAAATGAATAATAATTGACAAGGCTTCATCTAAGAAATTCAGACAACTTAAGACTATTACTACTTGGTGGAAGAGCAAGAGAAATAAGATGAAAGAAATACTAATCAAAAATGAATAATAATTGACAAGGCTTCATCTAAGAAATTCAGACAACTTAAGACTATTACTACTTGGTGGAAAAGCAAGAGAAATAAGATGAAAGAAATACTAGTCAAAAATGAATAATAATTGACAAAGCTTCATCTAAGAAATTCAGACAACTTAAGACTATTACTACTTGGTGGAAAAGCAAGAGAAATAAGATGAAAGAAATACTAATCAAAATGAATAATAATTGACAAGGCTTCATCTAAGAAATTCAGACAACTTAAGACTATTACTACTTGGTGGAAAAGCAAGAGAAATAAGATGAAAGAAATACTAATCAAAAATGAATAATAATTGACAAGGCTTCATCTAAGAAATTCAGACAACTTAAGACTATTACTACTTGGTGGAAAAGCAAGAGAAATAAGATGAAAGAAATACTAATCAAAAATGAATAATAATTGACAAGGCTTCATCTAAGAAATTCAGACAACTTAAGACTATTACTACTTGGTGGAAAAGCAAGAGAAATAAGATGAAAGAAATACTAATCAAAATGAATAATAATTGACAAGGCTTCATCTAAGAAATTCAGACAACTTAAGACTATTACTACTTGGTGGAAAAGCAAGAGAAATAAGATGAAAGAAATACTAATCAAAAATGAATAATAATTGACAAGGCTTCATCTAAGAAATTCAGACAACTTAAGACTATTACTACTTGGTGGAAAAGCAAGAGAAATAAGATGAAAGAAATACTAATCAAAAATGAATAATAATTGCCAACGCTTCATCTAAGAAATTCAGACAACTTAAGACTATTACTACTTGGTGGAAAAGCAAGAGAAATAAGATGAAAGAAATACTAATCAAAAATGAATAATAATTGCCAAGGCTTCATCTAAGAAATTCAGACAACTTAAGACTATTACTACTTGGTGGAAAAGCAAGAGAAATAAGATGAAAGAAATACTATTCAAAAATGAATAATTGACAAGGCTTCATCTAAGAAATTCAGACAACTTAAGACTATTACTACTTGGTGGAAAAGCAAGAGAAATAAGATGAAAGAAATACTAGTCAAAAATGAATAATAATTGCCAAGGCTTCATCTAAGAAATTCAGACAACTTAAGACTATTACTACTTGGTGGAAAAGCAAGAGAAATAAGATGAAAGAAATACTAATCAAAAATGAATAATAATTGACAAGGCTTCATCTAAGAAATTCAGACAACTTAAGACTATTACTACTTGGTGGAAAAGCAAGAGAAATAAGATGAAAGAAATACTAATCAAAAATGAATAATAATTGCCAAGGCTTCATCTAAGAAATTCAGACAACTTAAGACTATTACTACTTGGTGGAAATGCAAGAGAAAAAAGATGAAAGAAATACTAGTCAAAAATGAATAATAATTGACAAGGCTTCATATAAGAAATTCAGACAACTTAAGACTATTACTACTTGGTGGAAAAGCAAGAGAAATAAGATGAAAGAAATACTAGTCAAAAATGAATAATAATTGACAAGGCTTCATCTAAGAAATTCAGACAACTTAAGACTATTACTACTTGGTGGAAAAGCAAGAGAAAT